CATAGCCTCCGATCCAGGTTTGCACCAAAGCACACTCTATACTCACTTGGGCCTTCAGCAGGTAGGTCACCTTGCCAGGTTCTTGGATGGCTTTATTTGAACCAGAGGAGCAGTGTTTGGGAACCATGGGAAGGAGTAAGCTGATAGTGCTGTTTGCCATCTTGATATCAATTTCTCTGGCTCTTCAAGGACAGCCTGGCTCGCAGAGTCCTGGAGGACCTTGGCTGAATTTGAGCTTGTTTTTGTTTTCTCAAACTGTCTGCCTTTGCCCTGACCCTCCCCAGGTCTTTGTGATTCCAGGAATGACCCTGGTGTTTATAAAGCAGCCCTGGGGGAGTGCATAGGCAGGGAGGCTCTGCAGAGGCTGCGCTATTTCTGCTCACTCAGGAGACGGCGCTGTGAGGGCATGCTCCAGGAATCCCCACGATGCCTGGCCAAGAAGGGCTCCTCTGCGTGCATCCAAGCACACACGTGTGCATGTTTATGAACCTGCGGGTGAGAGGAACGAGCTTACTTGACTGTGTCTTTGCAAAATGTGTATGTGAAGCCATGTCTCTGGAAAAGAAGAGGCATCTTTCTCCCATCACCAAGCAGTTCTTCAGGAAATGGAGGCAGGAGAGAGAATCACAGAGGAATGGGGCCCTGCAAAGCCAGAGTTTGATCTTGGTCTAGGCTGCTGTCTGAAATTCTGAGGCTGGAGTCTAGGACGCCATTTTTAGATGGCTCTTCAGTGGATTTCTGATGAACAGCTATGTTTGGGAACCAGTCAGCTCGTCGAGCTCCCTGAATTTGTAGATGAGCACACTGAAGCCCACACATCTTAAATTCCTTGCTGGCATCACTCAGAGTCCAGGCTAGGTAACATCACAAACAGAGCCAGCACCGTTCTTCCTACCATACTAGACCCATTGGCCAAGGCTTTGAGTTGGGAACCATTTTTCAGACGTGGGAAGTTAGAGCTCAGGAAAGTTACAGAGCCTGGCCAAAATGATGGTTGGGTCCTAAGTGGCAAAGCCAGGACTGGATGGAATTCAGGGCTCTTGACTCCCAGAGTTCTTTGTCCAGTTGGGCTTGTTAATGAATTATCCACTGCCATGATGTTAATAGAGAAGTTTTCCAGGAGGGAGGGAGATTACAGTATTTATTCATTTGCCCAACATATGTTAAGATTAAGTGCTTTTGGGGAGAAATCATCAAAGAAGGATGGAACCGGGAAGGCAGCCAGCATCCTCTTGGCCTGTTAGCCGGAATCCACTGGTGAAGGGCTATGACCTGTTGAAGGAGGTAAACCCATTGGAGGGAACAGCAGATTCATGGCTGCATTAGATCATCTCTATGGTATCACCTGCTCTCAGATGTTCACATAACCATGAGACAGTCTAAGGAGAAAGTTGGAAGATGACTAGGTTTTTTCAGAAGAAAGACAAGAAAGGAGACACCTGTTGTGAAGATGTGTGATGGTTCTGGAAAAAGGTCTCCTTTTCTCACCACACCTCACACTTGAAGCAGGAGGGAGTAGGGGTTGCTTGTAGATCCTAAGGTCTCCCATAGATCTGGAGTTGCCCACTGTCCAATGGAGCGCTGAGGTCAGAACGTCACACTAGGAGAAAATGATGTTTCCTGAGTGCAAGGATCTGCTGGACATAGGTTCTCATTCATTGAATAAGACCGTCAGCACTATAAAACCAGGGTATGAAGTCTTCAAAGCTCTTTCTCCTGGAGCGTTAGCTCCCAGCTCTCCCTCCTTGGCTGGCTTAGGGAGGCTGGGGCAGGGGTAGTGTATGGACCCCTGCCCATAGCGAAGCCCCTCTGATGATGGCAGAGAGGTTGAGCATGCTCCTATAGACCCAGATGGTAGTCCTGGGTGTGCTATCTGTGAAATGGGACAACTTGTCCATCTCTTCCTATTTCACCAGCCTTTCTCATCTCCAGCTGTCCTCTAGGCGCCTAAGGTGGGAAGGTGTGGCCACACACCTGAAGCAGGATGGGACTTCTCCAGGCTCTGACAGCCCTCCCCAAACGAGACTGGGACTCTCTGCTCTGCCTCTGTGTCTCCCCCACTTCTCTCTGGAAAAGCTTGACCTTCCGTATATAATCGGTGTCAACCTATTTCCTGGGAATCTGTGTAGAGAACAGCCAATGCTTACTAATCCCCAGGGGACAACCTCTGCACGGGCCTTGGGGGGGGTCCCTCTCCGCCATCTCCAAGCCCGAAGCCTTTTCCAGCTATGTGACTTGGCTCACTAAGAACTTTTTTTTGGAGTAACCTTTGCACTGTAGCCCACGGAGCTGCATACATAAGTGGTTACTTAATAAATATTATTCTGACCCTAATTCTCTTAGGCAGAAAAAATGCAACTTGATGTTTTTGTGTTGAGAGCAAATTCCATCTCTAGCTGGAGTTCTGTATCTGGAATGTTTTCCTGAGGACGGCTTCTGTCACCGGTGCGAGTGCATGGGAAGAACTTGGTGATGTGCGGTAACGGCCTTGTCTGACCGAGTGTGGGAGGCGGTGTGGGCACTCCCTCCCTCAGGGTGGCAGGGAGGGGGGCGTGGAAGCAGCTCAGAGCTAGCCTCAGTGCACTGTAAATGCACGCAGCATCTCGGAAGCCTCCTGGCCACCCACTAGAGATGGCTGCTGTTTGTCTGCATTTTACTGATGAGCGACAGAGGCACAGAGAGCTTAAGCAACTTACCTGGGGCTGCACAGCTGAGTGGTGAAACAGGGACTCAGGCGATTAGAGTTGGAAGTCTGAATTCTTGAACCTCTTTGGCTGGGGATAGCAACAGTCAAGGAATGAGGCTTTCCCAGCCCACAGTGCTTTCTGGTCTCCACCCAGTCAGTTAGTTTATTCCCCTTCCCAGGGCTTTATTTCAAATGTGGAGTGTCAGCATGTGCGGCAGCAAACCAGGCCCGTGCATGCCCTCATCTGATTGGCATGTTCGTTGGCAGGGGTGAGATCAATACAGGAATGGGAGGAAACATGCCCTTGAATCCAGGTGGCCTCTGTGCGGGTGGACAAGCTGATCTTCACCTCAGAGAGGTGGGGGCATCTCGGGACAGCTCCTCCGGGGAGAAGCCTGTCCGAGAGACCCCGTCTTCTATACCTGGATCCGAGCTTCCTTACTGACTTTTGTGGGCCTGAGACATTTTTGCCTTTGGGGGCCCCTTCCTCCAAGAAATACTCTAAAATCATATTTTATAACTGTGTCTTATGGCTACAAACGTGTCAGTGTTGTATATGAAGACATTTTCTTGGAACTAAAAGCTTATTTTTCCTTCTGATTTTAAAAGATACCGAAACACTCGCTAGACCTCTGGGCACTGTGCCTGCTGTGCCTAATGAATGAGCCAGCCCTGCCTAGAGACTGCAGCACACACACTCATCCGGGTGCCTCTCTTCATCAAACTTGTTTCCAGGCTCACGGAGGGCCTGGCCTTGTCCTGAGCGCTGACCCCTAGGACTTGTCGTCTGAGGGATGCATCTTCGGCCCCGTCAGTGGTTCGAGCACCGGAGCTGGGCACACAATAGGAGCTTTTCTCTGTTGTTGACTGATGGGCAGTTTAAGAAAGTCGAAAGAGACTTAATGGATGTTCCTTGGACAAATGTCAGGATGTGATAAGGTGAAACGTCAAAGTTGAGCAGGTCGTTGTTCCTGTTCTTGGGGCTCCTGGTGTAATGGGGAACAAATCAGGGTACTGAGGTATGACTGTAGCAGCCTCAGGGGACCAACAGGAGGGGCAAACAGGCAAAGAAAGAGTCACAGCAGGGGGTGTTGGAAACTGTAAGTTCTGGTAGTGATGATTCCAACTCCATGTTTTAAAATTTCACCCAATCCGTGCCCTTTCAGACCACAAATGATGAATTCCCTTATGGGTTAGTGACAGGTGACTCTGGGAGGTCTTTCTACCGGAGAATGATGGACCCCAGGAGGGACTCAAACCCCTCCACGGTGAGGGCCTTGAAGACACAGTCATCCTTCTGTGCTCCACCTCCCAGGATGAGGCAGACAGAGCAGCGTTTAAGGGAGGTGCTCATAGGGCCCACCTAAGAGTTGCTGTGAAGCGAAATGATCATCCATGAAGTC